AGGAGCCTGACTAAGGCATAAAGGAGAACACTTACTGAGCAAGATGTGTCTGGGAACCCATGCATGAGTTCGAGGCCGTACCCAGATAAGGTGATGGAAGGAGGTCAAGATGCAAAATCGGCAAAGTCGAGCGCCGCCAGCTTGATATCTGAGGCTTTCTGGTTGAACCCGCCTGACTACTCCCAGTAAGTAAGGGTGCTAACCGTAGACATATATTAAGATACTCACAAGCCGCAACCTGCAAGTCGATTTGAGGTTCGGATAGACTATAGTACACTATTACATTAAGGCGATTTGCAATGCCTTCATGACGCAAGCATATGCCGGAGTTGAGACATAGACTACATATCAGTATGTCCTCTATTTATGTCTGTTTACATCGAATAAGGCGTTCGACCGGGTCTGCCGTTCGCACCCCTTCAACTAGCTGGTAATCGCTGATACTTGCTCACATACCCGCGCTTGAACCAGAAGGGCCTAAAACGCGGTGACTGCTGGCTCTCAACCTGTGTCTGTCCTCGTGTTTCTCATGAGTGCCACCGGCCAGGCTCAGACGGCTGCTTTGACGTGCGATCGTACAGTATGCGAATGGACCCGAGTCGTCGGGCTCTTCTATAGCATAGGTATGCTACCTATTTCGCATCGAGTTGTCAGCACCGCCCGAATATTCACCACAACAAGCAAAACAGTAGAAACCGAATCATGATCCCTTGTACTCTCCCTATTTCGCTGTCGGAGGAACAGAGGACTTTTGGACTATAGTTGTCCACGTTTGAAGGCACGGCCTGCCGTCACTCTACCGAGAAGCAACTTAGGCAACGCGTGGCGCCACGGGAAGCTTGAGCCTACCCCATCACAGTTGCCCGAGCTGGCTCCTGACCACATTGGTGAGCTCCGACGATCCTCCAAATCTGTGAGGATAGACCTGGCATCACCGTGTATGGCGGTCAGAATGGGTGGTACGACGCTTGGGGTCAGGCCTGTCCCATCCTTGCTCCGTATCCCGAAGTGGTAAACCACATACGCTTGATCCTCGGGGTCGCGGTTCTAACGCTCTCTTATCCCTTACCTGTTACGGCTTAACCCATCCACTACCCAGGCGATGTCATGCAATTTACCACAGCGCCTCTCACGGCTTGCGTATTTGAAGTGGCTGGTCGCATACCTTTCGCCCGGTGCTCCTGTACAGTTTCGCCCACCATGGGACTTTCTCTTTCCACCCCGACGTTTATGTTTCCATTGGTGGTACTATTGCTCGTTCTCTTTCATCTCTACAGAAAGTCTTCCGATTTCGCCGCTCGCTCTCGAGGTCGCCCATTGCCTCCTGGACCTCCTGGAATACCCGTTCTTGGGAACTTGTTCGACCTTCCCAAACGCTCACCTTGGATTGGGTACCGGGACATATGCCAAAAATACGGTGCGTCGCCTATAGCGACCAGTGTGCGACCACGACCCTCGAAGCTGACGCCAGCGTAACCGCTGTAGGGGACTTGGTTCACTTTCAGGTTATGGGCCGCTCCATTCTTCTCGTAAACGACGCCAAGATCGCTTCCGACCTGCTAGACAAGCGGTCGACGGTAAACTCCTCCCGCCCGACGTTGACGGCGGTTGAATTGTAGGCCCTCTGCGCCGTCTCTCCACTTGAGAATGGTGGTACTAAACCGGGTGTAGGGTAGGCTGGGAGTGGAGCTTGGTGTTCATGCCCTATGGCCAGTGGTGGCGGCGGCACAGGCGGGCGTTCTGGCAGCACTTCCACCCGGGCGCGATCCCCGCCTATCGTGACGTGCTGGAGCAGGGAGCACATCGGCTGTTGTCGCGGCTTCTCACGACGCCAGGGAAACTCGAGGAGCACCTTCGCTAGTGAGGCACTCGTTCCTGACCTTCGATACCACCGAGTCTTCATCGTGCGATTGCTGACTTGGGCTTCGGGATACAGCGCGCTCGGGGTCGCGATATGCAAGGCGGCACACGGGCTGGACATTGCTGAGCAGAACGATGCAAGGATGGAGATCTTCGAGAGAGCGCTGAGGAGCGTAGACGTGCTCGTAGATGGCGCGACGGTGCTGGAGTTCTTCCCGTTCCTGACTGCCATTCCGACGTGGCTGCCGGGGACGAGCTTCTTACGGCGGCTAGCGGAGGATAGGAAGAACGCTCACATGCTCCGGGAGCTGCCTTGGATCCAAGCGAAAGAAATGGTGGTGAGTTTGATGATGCACACTCGTGCGAGCATGTGCCTATCTTCGTGGTTATTCACAAAATCTGACAGGATAACGGGTCGAGTTCACGCTCTATCGCAAGCGCTATGATGGACAAAATCGCGCGCCTTGATCCCGCGAACGCAGCAGAGGAAGAAGGCGTGGCGATGAGTGCTGCCGGGATGGCCTACGCAGGTGAGAGGGGAATATTACCGCTATACGCACTGATCTCAACAGAATATTGCCCCAGCCGGCTTAGACACGGTATGTACACTCGCCCACTTCCCCTTCATCTGGACGTCTCACATTGTCATGTCAGCAATATGCCGCTCTTCAAAGTCTGTTTCCGGCTCTATCCCTCCATCCTGAAGTCCAGGAGAACGCACGAGCAGAGCTGGACAGCGTCGTCGGCCCCGATAGGCTCCCGACATTCGAAGACCGGGACGCACTTCCTTACGTCAACGCTGTAGTGAAGGAGCTCCTGAGGTGGCATAACGCTACGCCGCTAGGCGTCGCGCGGTGCAGCGTCGCCGATGACGAGTACAATGGATACTACATCCCTGCCGACACGACCATAGTAGTCAACGTATGGTAAACATGCTTTCCTTGCGCCACGTGGTCGAACCTGTACATTGACACCACCCATAGGTCAATCGTGCATGATCCGGAGCGATACGCTGAGCCAGATAGATTCATGCCCGAGCGCTACTTGAAAGACGGCAAGCTTGACTGTGACGTAACCGACCCGAATGGAGTCATCTTTGGGTTTGGCAGACGGTAAGCTGCTCTTCGCCCCCAAATCCAGAAGAGGATGCTAAGTCATCAGTAGGATATGCCCGGGACGTTACTTCGCAGACGCAACGCTTTTCATATTCGTCGCGTGCGTTCTACACGTGTTTGACATAACGCCACCCTTGAACGAAAACAAACACCCCATACACATCAAGCCTCAAGCTACCGATGGGATAATTTCGTACGTTCTCATTGGGAGTGTCCAGAAGATGCATCCCTCTGACCCATCCATTATAAGCTATTTGGACGATACCAGGTGCACGATCAAACCGCGTTCTGCGACCGCGGAGGGACTCGTACGCCGCACATCAAGTAACATGAGAGCCTCTGCTTGAAGGAGAGGTGTCGTCTGGGCTCGTTTCGATGGGACCGCCAATCTCCCTTGTCGCTCTCTTTGACGAGAGCTAGTGTTAGTATTCGAATCTATGAGGACAACGACTTCGTGCAACGATAATGCGCAACGGTACTAGACAAAGGACAAGTGGGTTTGAGCCTATCGGCGAATTTAAGTACGTAGCCGGATATCTGCGAATCGTCGTCACTGCTGACGCATCTGGTCTGAGCAGAGAGACTACTCACGGATTCGCACACATGACAGTCATCCCCCGGGATGCTGTCTCTGCTCAATGTTCTGCCGTATGATAAGTGTGAAATCACACAGGTCTCGTGGCACCTTCGATGCAGCATCCCTGCATACCACGGCGCACATACAGGCGGTGAGAACCAGGAAAGAGGACCTACGTCACAGTGGACCGCCCTTCGGATAAGCAGGTGTCTCTTTGTGCCATGGAAACAGGGCCAATATACTCGAGAAGGAATCGGCACACAGGCGTAAATCGCCACTATCGAGTCCTCTGCCGATGTCTCCCCAACACCTGTCACCGAGTCATTAAGTCTATATACATACAATCTGGACGCGGGCCTTTTCTGCGACCTAAATGTAGGAGACGCGATGATTAGAAGGGAATCGCACAAGGGAGCAATCCACAAAAGTTTCACATCTGCATGCCGCTGCCTTCGCTTTCCCGCCAAGGTTCCCGAGTATATAAAGCTAACCTATTCATTGGTATGTGAGAATCACCTGACAGTCCACTATGCCACCTAGCATCCCGCTTCCTGGTGGTTTGAAGACTATTTGCGTGTTCGTCTTGATCCCCCTTGCGCTTTACTTACGCTCGGTCCTTTCTTGGAGAAGGCGTACTCGAGGTAGACCTTTGCCTCCTGGGCCACGAGGTCTGCCAATCATCGGTACTCTTCTTGAGGCACCAAGAGTCAGACCGTGGCTTGGGTATCGGGATCTCTGCAACCAGTATGGTACGTGGATCACCTTATAAACCTTCTGCCCTCATTTGACTGTAACTTAGGTGATATCGTCTACTTTCGGATCCTCGGGCAGGACAACGTAGTCTTGGGTAGCGCTGCGGCAGTGGCGAAGGTGATGGAAGAGCGGACAGCGAACACGTCAGATAGGCTGGTTGGACCATTGATTAGACTGTAAGTAGCATCATGCGCGAATATCAACATATGCCTCAACCATGTATCAGCTCAGGAAACGATTGGATTCTCGGCGTGATTCCTTACGGACAAAGATGGAGGGACTACAGACGGGCGCTCTGGCAGCATTTTAATCCTGGCGCTATCATGAGGTACCAACTCGTTCAAGCAGCTATCGTTCCCCTCTTCCTGAAGAAGCTCTTAGAAGATCCGGAGCGTCTCACGACGCATATTCGATTGTGAGGCCGTCTCTCTGACGTACGCGTACTGACAGTCATTAACCAACGATTGTACTGATGACAGCGTGTTTGCTGCGACGATGCTGAAGGTCGCCTATGGTATCGATATTGACGACGGTGATCATGAGATCGTTCGCGTCATCGACGAAGGAGTCGAAGGAACCGCGCAAGCTTTCGCACCAGGAAAGTTCTTGGTGGATCACGTCCCGTGGTTGGAACACGTACCGGCATGGTTCCCAGGTGCTGGATTTCAAAGGCAGTTCGCAACATGGCGGGCTGCCCAGACCTTAGTCAAAGACGTACCGTTCATGCAGCGGAGAACCATCGTGAGCATCGTGTTACTTGGTTCCATATTATAGCATCCTCACGCTGGCTTGGGAGTTGGCAGGACGAGCATACGACATCTTCGTATGCGACAGTCGTCGATCAACTGCTGAAGAAGAGGAACCACGTCAACCCAGAATACTGGGAAGAACTTGTCAAGTCTGTCGCAGCTGTTGTTTATGAAGGTGAGAGGACACCGTTGACTTGCCGTTTGCGGGCACAGTCTCATGGCTACCTCAGCCGGCTCTGATACGGTAGAACAAGCTCCTCCGGGAAGCTGCGTGCCTACTCATGGATGGATTGATTCTATAGTCGTTCTCCGCAATGCAAGCCGCTTTCCTCGCGATGTCTCTACATCCGGAAGTGCAGAGAAAGGCACAAGCGGAACTCGATGCAGTTGTCGGGCGAAGCCGCCTGCCGGACTTCCGTGACCTCGACTCGCTCGTCTACGTTCAGGCAATTCTTAAGGAGGTCCTCCGTTGGCACACAGTCACACCCTTGGGCATTCCGCATCGTACAATGAAAGACGACGTAATTTGCGGTTACTTCGTGCCTGCTGGTACTGTTCTCATAGCCAACATATGGTGCGTCTCGCTTCAGTCCCTCATGCGCGTCCGTTATTAGTCTAACCTATTTACCAGGGACTGCATGCACGATCCCGGAGTTTACGAGGACCCGGATGACTTTCGTCCGGAGCGGTTCATCAAACATGGTGTACTGAATGCAGATGTGCTTGACCCGTCAGCCATCGTCTTCGGGGCAGGCAGAAGGAATGTGAATATGCAAACCATGAAGACGTATGTCCTGACCTGCATTCTCACAGGATATGCCCGGGGAGGTACTTCGCACAATCAACCCTGCTCCTCAATATTGCTTCGGTGCTCCATGTTTTCAATATCAGCCCGCCCCTGGACAACGACGGAAGGCCTCTCACGATCAAGCATGTCATGACAGATGGATTCTTATCGTGAGTATTCATTACAGCTATGTCTGATCGCTCATTTTGATCAACCATGGGGGTATGCAGCTATCCCGAGGACTGCCGATGCACCATCAAGCCCCGGTCTTCGGACGCTTCGGCACTCATTGTGAACTCGCAAGGACGCACAAGTTCGAATTAAATCTTCAGACACCGTGACTCCTAGTCTCTCTCGAAGCCGTGTGTCGTAGATGTTTCAATCGAATCACATCAAGAAATTGCTGTATGAGCGAACATAGCTAAATGCATATCGTCACGGTGAATGTTCAGTATCGTTCCGAGTTCAACTAGTAACTACATCGAAGACATTGATATCCGGTTCGCGCTGCGATGAAAGCAGGTGATACGCGCGAGCATGGATTGGCAAGTGGGAGGTAGCCTAGCCGGAAGAGCCTTCTTGTTCCTTGAACGACGCTTCGCGTACCTTGTTCATGACCGCACGCCAACCATCATACATTCCCCAAAACTCAGCTTGCCTAACCTGAGGTCCATGTGAGATGAAATCGCTGAGAGCCGGAAAGACATGCAAGAGGAACGTCGCGACCTCGTCCGGGTTGCTGACAGGGGTGCCAAACAGGACCAAAGAGGTCAGCTTGGAGGGGCTCTTCTCCATATCGCGTAGCGCCCCGTAGAACGAAGGAGGTATCGTCGATTTTGCATCGAGTTGTGAGGACCGCGGCTTGGCGTCAAGGCTCACCTGGCTGGCGGAGTGTTGGATTTGTCCAGCGCTCGCGTCGATCTGCAGGGCGAGGCGTTCCAGTTGAGGACAATGCAGGGCGAATGCAGGGAGAGCGGCGAGGGTCGAGTGGATCACGGGTTGGAAGCATGCATGATGAACTGACGCTAGACCAAAGTCCTCCAGACTGGGCCATGCCTCAGCCATGCTGACGAGGAGATTGTCGTCAATGTCGTAGAGCCCGGGCGCGTCAAACACGAAGATTCGTGTCTTGGTGAACTTGACCAGAGCGTGGAGATGCGAGGAGTTGATTGTAACATCAGCGCGTCTTTCGACCATGATTGGGATGTCGTTGCTATCGTCGTCGCTATCGTCATCACTATCGAGGTAATCCGGGTCAAAGCGAATGAAGAGCTCAGCGAGTCTGTCAGTGCGAAAGTGCCGCGAGATAAGCGAGATGACGTCGACCATTGCGTGACCGAAGGGGACGTCCGTCAAGATTAGATCAAAGGACTCCACAGGTAGCACGACTGACGGTAAGGCTCGAGAGAAGGCAACATAGGCTGAGGCCGTGGTGGCAAATATGAAGGTTTGCAGATTCTGGAAAGGCTGCAGAAAATCGACTTTCTCCTTCCAGTGGGACGGTTTAGGAAGACGAAGGGCGCACGTCTTGAGCGCCGGAAGGGATGCAAGGGCTAACACCGCGTCTCGACGAAGCTCAATGCTCATGCATTGGTAATCTCGCAAGTCCTGTAGCCCCAGTGTTGCTTGGGAGAGGGTCGCTATATGCTTGACAGTGTTTTCCTCTGGTTCTGTAGATAGGTTGAAAACGCGGAGGTTGCGCCAGCGACGTGCGATGATGGTAATACTTCGCATCACGTCGTCAACAAGGCGGTCGTTCGAGTCATGACCCCGATACACTATCTCCACGTCCGTGAGACGTCTGCCGATGGCAAGCAAGAACGCTGGGAGGGCGGAAAAGGGGATGCAGGTGCCGGTACATCCGAGCTTGCGCAAGCCAGGCAGTAAGGTCTGACCTGGGGGTACGGCCGCACAGATGGACTGGATCACGGAGGGTTCGACGCTCCTGAGTCGGTCACGACAGTCCTCTGCATCCAGGGTATCCGACAGTGTCCTCACATACGAGGCGTACTTGAAGAAAGTTGCCCATTCCTCTACGGTCGCACGATTTGTCAGAGTCTGGGTGAGAGATTCATCAGAAAGCGGAGATGGTATATGAGATAGGGAAGAGCCGCACCACGACTGTATCTTTGACTCCCCCGCAGTCCCAGGGTAAGCACTGCAGAAGAGGGACAAGGCTATCGAGGACAGCCCAGAGGGCTTCCATAGCAGGCTCGTGTAATCCCTTGCACGTTCTAGCGAGAGCGGCTAGTGATGGTCTCTCCGGCTCAGATTCATCGTTGAGGAAGGCGCAGATACTCCTTGCGATCTCGCAGATTCTGAGCGCTCGATGCATGGCGGCGAGCGATGTGCTCTAGTTTAGAGAGCTAGTGCTGCACGTCAGGGGACTTATTTCGGACACCGTGTGATCAAGAAAGTTGCTCACTGGCGACGCGCCCTGATATGATACAGTGCAGGAAGGAGGAGAGCGCAAGGAGAGCGCTAACAGTCTCACAGATTAGCAGGCGGGAAGGATCGTGCACAGGACCTGCACGTGATGTAGCGCCTGGGCGTATGCTTCCTTCATGTGCCATAGACTACACTCCCCCTCACGTACGGACGACTACCTTGCCATGTCCCCAAATCTACAACGGCCCCACTACTTTCCGGATAAGCAGTGGTCACCAGGACAAATATAGGTGACCAGGTGATACTCCATGATTGTCCTTGTCCTTGCGCGCCCGATGTAGCGGGCTGCCCTCAATGGTGGGACTTATGCATCAGCAAAACTAGCAAACCATGGTCTCGCATGGCCACGGCGCCCGAAACTGACCTACCCTTTCCGGAAACCGCAAGCGCCGCCTAATTCTGGCCAACTCCCATCCCTCCTGACGGAATCTGGCCATAGAGCATCTGCGCGGATGGACACCGGTAATGATAGACAGGTATGTATCTTACGATATTACTTCATACCAGTTACTTTGCATGAGACAAGGTGCGCGGAAAATAAGACTATGCAAAGCCGCCAAGCGCTCCGACCCTCCACCACATCCTCCTCGGCATTCCTCACCAATCTCCTTCCTCTCCCGAGCGCGCTCGTTGTCGTTGCCCATCCTCCTCTCCGCCTCCGCCCTCTCCGCCTCCTCATCTACGACACTTTGCGGATCTTCC